ACGCCTGACACATGCTGCACAGAATGAAACAAGCAGTGGTGTAAAGTTACTAAGTACATTTACTCAAAAAATGTACTTAAGTAAAATTAAGAGATACGTATACTTTACTTGAGTATTTGACTTGTTTGCTACTTTGTTTTTATACCACAAATAACATTCAAAGGTAAAAAGTGTACCACTACTTGTATTTTATACCTTTACTTACTTGATATGAAATATAACCAGCACTTAAATCAGACTTTAGTTCCACCTGGAATAAATTCACAAGCTAATCTGCAGAATACAAAGTCATTCAAACTAGCTACACCTTTACCAGCTTTGATAAACCCATTCAAACATAAATAACTACAATCAAAACATATGATATATATTATTTGAAAATTGACCAATCTGCATAGTGAGTACTTTTACTTTCAGTACTTTAAGTATATTTCGATACTAGAGTATTCCTACACTCTTTACTTTAACTTAAGTATAAGATAAGAGTACTACTTCCACCAACTACACTAAAACATTATCCATCACTGCTAATTCACTCCCTTTAGTTAGTCCCACACTATCTTAAATACAGCAGCCTGTGAGTTTCGATCCACCATGAACTACTGTGCTCCCGTCTGACTGATTGAATTCCAGCCACAGCTTGATTTATAGCTCTTCAGCTCCAACACTTTCCCTCAACAGCTACCTTCCCCTCCTTTGTCTCCCGCTCTTCTGCTGCAGACTTTTGCATTCTAACCATGCCTTTAAAGGTGAGGGGAGCAGAGTGCAATGACATGCTGACATTTTACAGGGTCTGTGCCCTTTCATGGGAGCTGAAGAGGTGACGGAGGAACAAAAAGATCCCATAGGGACAGACACAGAGTAGAGATGACTATTTTCATGGACTGAACTATGGGGGGAACTTCAAAAGTGACCCTGTTGGCATTAAGATATGTCACATCCACTCACAATTAGATCGTTTAGTTTTACCATCTCTGCTGTCCTGCCAAGTGAGTGGGAGTCCAACTCAATTTAATTCCAGCTCGTGTCTTTAAATGATCTTTTCGGGTGTTTAAAATTAGTATAAAAAACACTTCCAACGACTACTTTGAAGAAGAACGAGCACATTTTTCGGTGCCAACTTGTCCTCACAAAATGTGTGCGGTTTGCATGCAGATACATTTGAGAAAAAGGTTGATACAGGTAATCAGGATGCAGCACATGGACTGTGATGGAATAGATAGGATGAGCTTATGAAAAGGGAGGTAAGAAAGGCAGTGGACAGATGCAGAGTGCACTGGACCGAGAGCACAGGTGTCTGGATATCCGCTGCTCCTGTCTGCTTTCTTTCTTATTTCTCTCCTGTGTTGATTGTGTTTTGTTTCCTTCTTCCTCATCCCCCTGGTCTGCTTGCCTTTTGTTCCTTCCTCCCAGATTTGTTGCTGCTGGTCGTTTGGCATAAAGCAGCAGCCATGCACAATGTATCCAATTATGTTGGGCTTTTAGGATTTTACACTGCTGCAGGTTGCGATGGATGGAAGTAAAGCTAAATATCAAGGGTGGCCGCTCCAGAGGCCTGGAGTAATAGCACTGCAGCAGAAGAGGAGAGAAAGGAGAAATGGAGATGCAGGGGCTCTTTTTTTTAATCTCTTCTATTTGATTTTAGCACTATGCTGAAGGCGCTTTTAATCCACGAAATCCTTCCTTTTTTCTAAAGCGCCAAATCTTTACAATTGAAATACCACTTCACTGCGTGACATCATAGGCCAAGGGTTATTTTGAGGCAAACGCTGATCAAATAAGCCCCAGTGTGATGAAATGGACTTTGCACAAATTGTTTCATTGATTTGTGCTGTAGGGAAAGATCAGTCTGTCATATATGATGGCTCACATTGGTAGCTGCCTCATTTGCATTCTGTGAATCAGATGCTGATCTCTATGAGCAAGTGCACACAAAGCAAGGTTGTCCAACATTCAAAATAGGAGCGGTTAATCAACAACATGCAGCAGCAGCCAGATCAGTCACATTTTGTGCCTCCTATAAGGACGTGACAAAACTACAGGACTCCCAGATGTCCAGCCAGGCTCAGCTTACAAGTCAAATCCCAGCGCTCAGAAATCAAAACATGAGTGGAGGATAAGGCAAGGGTGAAGGATAAGTGAAGACATGGCAGAGCAAGTAATCAGCCGCTCGGGTAGTCAAAGATGCCTCCTAATCCCTGCTGCTTCGAGGGCGGTGGGAGAAAATCACCTTGAGTCTCTGCTGTCAGACAGGAACAGGAGGCTGGATGGAGTCTGACCTTTCACTTGTTTAAATTAGGCTGGCTCACAGCGAGATGGGATGTGGCTTACAAAGTTACTCTTCACTCAGGGTGATATCTCATTAGCACACAGGTGTTTAATGGTTATTAGCTGCCGGGGGTCATGAAAGTTTGCCATTTGATGGATAACTCAACAAGTTATCCCCCCATCCGCGCAAATGCAATAACTTTGCATTCAAACAGACTTTTGTTTACCATCATTCTCACCCCAGTCACAGCAGGATGAAGACCCTGCCTCTCCCTCTGTCTAATTTTAGAAATAGGCGTTCCTCCATCCTCCTTTACTCTGTTCCTCCTGACCTGTTATTTCAATCAGTTCAACTACAAGATGTAATTGACTGCAGTGGGATGTCTGAAACAAAGTACTCAAAGCTCTCGTGCTCAGTCAGACGTGTAGCAAACTATAAAACTCATCCATGACTCCCTAATGAGTCAACATGAAATCCTGACATTGCTGTGGCTGATGGTGCAAGAAGACAACACCTCACCCAATCTCTTCTACTGTGGCAAAACAACAGAATAGATTCAAACGGATGTAGCCAAGTGATCAAGGACTTGAACAAAAATACTTTCATTGTGGCGGGTTTCTTTAGTAAAGTAATAATGTGACATCTGGAACCCGCCATGCGTAAAAATGTCTCCAAGTTGCCTCCAACATGCACGTTAAGCCACATTTCTTACCTTTTAGAGTTTGAAGCGTCCCATGCTCTGTGAGAGGAAGGCGGCAGTGATATGTTGTGTAGTGAGATGAGAAGCGTTACACCACCAGCACCAAACCGAACTCAATGGCTGCGGATTGGGAACACCAAGTCCTGAGGAGAGACGCGCCGAGGATCGAAACAAAAAAATAAGTCATCAGAAGAGAGATGCACGCGGATCCCTCTCCGGAGTTTTCTGAATGGGCTCTGTGGGTATTGTTACGATACATTAACCCTCCAGTGTGCACAAGTCATCTCCCGGCGCGCTCGGAAACAAGTTATGGATGTGGTGCGTGTTGGTGCTTCAGAAAGCAGCTGAGCTCAGTCATCTGGTCGCAGCTGGACCGCGTGCCAGCCTTCTGCTCGTACATCCAGTTGTGCCGCGATCACACTCACTGCAGAGCCACAGTCCCGCCTATTGGTAGTAGCACAGCAACACCACAGTCTGCACATGCTTGTTGTGTACGAGCTGCATCATTACACACCATAATGATCCATCATTCTGTTGGCGATACCAATGCGTCTTTTCCATCGTAGACATGCCTCCACCTCCAGATGTGCTGTCTTCACAAACAAAGGCCCACATTAAAAACTAATTATCGAGTGTTCACGTGCATTTGGCTGGATTTTATTTCAGTAAACCACAGACAGGCAGCTGCTGCAGTGGTGGAATAGTTATTAATACATGTGTTTATTGCACTGCATGACACAGAAAACATAAACTGTCTGTTTTGGTGTTAGGTCCATCATTTTCCATATTTAATACAATAGGCTGCTTCTTCAAGTCAATTAAAAATATAGTAATTAGAATGATCAGCAGTGGTTCAAACGAAATAAATACATAAGTACAAGTATATAAAGGCAAAAAATTGATAAATAAATAGGTTACCTTTAAAAAAAACTTTATACAAATTCTCGATGTTATTTGTTGGAAATGACTTATTCCCATACATTTTGTAATAACTCTCAGCTATAAAGACAATATTTTCCGAGACAAATCTACAGTTTACGGATTTACCTGTTGCTTCAGGAGGGATTGTATTCCTTCTTAACGGTAGGCCTACATGTTGCGTTCAAGTCATGCAGGATTAAGTTGGTGAAGATCCGAAACATATAATCTAATGTGTCATTTTAAAATGGCAAACCATACAATTGTTTAATTGATAACAATTGAAATACTGATTTTTGTAAAATAGTGCAAGAACTATTGCAAATTTGAATTGCTATATTTCCCACCGCATTGAAGGCAGCACCCTATGGTACTGCCCTACCAGGAAGACGAGGACAACACAGACGTTAGGTCGGTAGCTTACTGTTTACTTATTGCTTATAAAAATGTATCATAGAATTAGATTCATCTTAAAGTGTAACTCGAGGGTAATAATTATATTAAAAGCGACAAAAAGTTGGCACTTCTGTTATGTTTGCGATTTATTTTTTAAAGTGAAAGTACTACATTATGTGTAATCCTTAACACCATACACTGTGTTGCATTTATGGTCCCTTTAGTTTCAAAGTGCACCTACATATTACATTCACACCATAGACTGCATAAGATTCACACACGTAAAATAACTTTTACAAATTGTTGTATATGATCATAACTCTATTGATATCCTGAAAGTATGTCATTCATTGTAAACACATTGTAACTCTCTGACAGGGTCATAAACTACATGTATTTCATATTGTTTCAAGCGCATCACCATACATGATAAGACATCATATGGATTTAAATTGGGGACAGACATGTAGACTGGAACAGGAATTGGCTTTTTTATGTGATGTATAATTATTTATTTATTTTATGATGGATTCATGTTATCCATGATGTTGAATAATTCATGATTTTAAAAGTACAAACAGAACTCATGGTGCAATTTTTTCTCAACAGCACCAGGGTTATTCCAGAGGATCACCCTTTTTGAATCAAATACAGGAACCAAGTTGAGGAGGCAAAGAAAGGAGGAAACCATTTCCTTCCAGGCATCTGTGTGCCAGAATGGACAGCCTGGAGGTGGGGGATTTACTGGAGGATTGCCTCAGAGCAGCTCGACTGTCCACCCACTCCACTGAGGCTGAGAGGCTGGACTTCTGTCTCTGCAAAGGTCAGACACAAGATGGTGCTGTTTGTTCAATTTATTTTGGGTTTGGAAGGATGTCAGATTGGGATTTGGGTGAGTAGATTTGGTGGTGGATTTACATTTACATACACACAACATATGGTTTGTGTTGACAATGAGGGCATTCTTTACAAATGCTCTGTTAATCCCACATGGAGTTGGCACTAATGTGAGGGAATGTCCTTTTGTTTAGCTAATGCTTTTCAGTAGCTCGAGCTGTGGCAGTACAATGCTAAAAAGAAACCTCCTTCTCTAATATAATTCTACCAAAGGAAGAACATAAATGTGTGCATTCTCTATTTTATTTATACCTGGAGTTTCAAATATTTAAGGCAAGGTAATCTGCGCACTGGAACATCCTTTTTACACTCACATTTTCTACTTTGTAATGCTGCTTTAATTGTATTTTGAGATGTTTAAATTCTAGTATTGTTTATTTCTACTTATTGAAATGTTTGTTTTGTTTTTTTATGTGCGTATGCAGTGTAATCTCCGTAATATATACCTCTTCTTATCTTATCTTATTTATTTGGATTATTTGAATCTGTAGACTTCGCTTTGTGTTTGTTCATGAGTTTCTTGGCCTTCTCTCTCTGAGGATTCAATTGGAAATGATAGTGGCCATTTGTGGCCGGAAAAATTGGCCAATACCAGCAGTCCAGTTAGTGCCGATGACCAGACCAACCTCAGTGACCTTCATCAGCCTCACCTGATGCAGCTGACTGGTATAATACCACAGGGAATAATGTTTTTATGTGGTGTGCTGGAAGCATATTCTCTGTGTGTGTCCCTTGTTAAAGATGATCATATGATTCAATGGTTGTATACACTTGTATAAATTAAGATTTTGAAATGAAATGATTTATTTTCTGTGTGCCAGGCTGTGTCTAAAGGCCTCCATCGTTGGCTCATTTGAGGCAGGCACGTGGGCTATCGGTGGTCTTCTTTTCTGACCGCTTTCCTCTACTGGACAGATGAGTCGAGTCGGCTGCTTGAAGATCACCAAGCTGCTCACAAACACCACCCTGATCCCCCTGTGGCCCCTCATGCTGGTCATACGACGGCTTTTAGTGGTATTCTACTTAACTTGAGAATAATTAGGTGTGATATTAATTTATTATGAAATGTGAAAAGTGCGTTTGGTTGTGTCATCAGATATTGTCACATGATTCAGTATTGGAAACGGTTATCAATACTTTCTGTTATATCTATGATAGGCAGATATTCTTTACATACTGTATGCAGTCTGGATTACACAACAGTGGGGCCATCAGGGTACTGTAGGTGCTTTGTATTTTATTGCCTTTAAGTTATGCATTATGTTGTTTTACATTGAACATAATATCTTTTATCAGGTGTTGGGTGTACCACTCTGAAAGTGACAGGCTTCTTTGTGGCAGGCTGTGGTGTTTCAGTGCGTTGGGAATGACTTTGCAACGCTTAGGTAAGGTTTTTCCTTAAGGAATGACTTAAGTTCACCCCCTCCCCTTTTATACTGATGTCAATGGATCATGGATCCTTTAGGTCTCTAAATCTTTTACATGTTTTTGAATTTGAGGTGATAATAAGCAAGGCCTTACAAGTTTTTAAAAGACTGGGGTCAATAAATGGGGATTTATATAATATATTTTTGAATAGAATTGCTTCTGGATTTTTTCCTTTTGCCTTAACATATGTTATTAGGCTATGTTCTGCTGGCATCCATTTCATCCATGCAAACCTGCTTAGAAAAAGTGCTAGTCGTGGATGCGCTGCACATAGTGATGATGTTGAATATTGGAGGCTTCTGTCTAGCGCCTGCAAGCTGTTGAAAAATGATGGTCCTGTAACCTTGTTCCGTTACAAAGAACTGAAGTCCTTGATCCACGGCCGTTCAAAATCTTTTAGAATCCTTGATTGTGATTTGTAAAAAGGTGTAGGAACCTTTTGAACATATTGCATGCTGTACGATATTACTACTGTTGGTGTACCAAGATATATTCATCAATAGAGGTTCTGTGTTCATGTCTTATGTTGGATCTAGTATGATGTTTCAGCTCTGTATTTATACCAAAGCATTATTATGGCAATCTTCAGTAAAATATATTGAATCCTTACAGAGCCGGGGGATCATTTTGTCCGAGAACAAAATCAACATTTATGAGATTACGAGTCTT